CTGTTTTTTTTCTCCAAACAGCTCGTTGCTATAGTTCTTAATCATTAAAAAAAATATTGAAAGGCTTTGTCTACGATAAAAACAAAATGCACAGGACTGTACCCTCTTTACAACCTTTGGATAATTATACTAGCAGTAAAGATAGAATAAAAAAAAAAGATAATTAAAAATTTATATTAAAGATTTATTAACTTTGTCTTTGGATGCAAAAGAAAATAAATGCACTTTTAAAACTTATTGGCTTCAGGGATTTTAATGTATTCTGAAAATATATACTTTGACAGATATACCTAACATAATTATGTACTTTAAATTAATTCATTCTTCTAATTCTTTCAACACTATTTTTATACCATTTCGTAAAAAACAAAAATAACTATAGAAAAAAGGAAAAGAAAAGAAAAAACACAAATCAAACTCTGGACAACTACGCCGTGTTGCTGAACATGCATGTATTTGTAAACACGAGTGCAGTCTATAAACAAACATTAAAATTGCAACGTTCTGTTCGTGACACATTCTTTTATTTTTCCTCTTGCAATTTTAAAGATAAAGCAACACATTTTCAGGTATTTTCAGAGATTTTATAGTCATTTCAACGAAATGAACGGTCGATCCACATAATCATTTTATATCTCTTTAATTGTACTTATGGCTGACTTTGAAATGGCAATCTTACATGTAAAACACTTTTTAAACAGTAAACATTTTTTTGTATTTAACCTAAATATCCTTATTTGCTCCTCATGCAAACTTAGCACAATTTTTTCGCATTTTAATTGGGAAGTATTTCTCGCCTTGTTTATCTCTTACAACAGTAGCTACAGAACTGTAGCTCTATGCTTGAGAAAATTCGAACAGATAGAGCTTTATCTGTACAAATTTTCTCAAGCAGTGAGCTACAGTTCCACAGCTATTACTACAACCGTTTACTTTAGACATAAAGGGGAAAGAAAAATCATACCTCGTATTTGAAAGAAACATTTAAAAGAAATAAGGAAGTGATTTTCAACATTGCAAAATACTTTAAGATAACGATAAGGAAGTTAATATCCTCGAAAATTTTATGTAACATTACATGTTTTTACCAAGTCACCCTTTTTGAAATATTGGTAATTATAATGGGAGTTAGAGTGGGTAAGTCTTGTAAAAGTGATCCTTTTAATAATAATATTCAATGGGCCGAATGTAATTTGTAAAGAAAATTATGCGAGAAATATAAGCGATGACGAGGCTCTCAAGAACTATACGAAAATTTCTTGCGCGCAAATATAAGTTATTTTACAGTCATTAGCTTGTATATTGTAAAGACTTTTAACCTATCCGTGTTTAAATTGAGTACAATACCCGGTAATACATTTTTTACTATAAAAGTCATCTCATATTTTACATCGACTATAAAATTAGATTAATCAGTTACTTAAAAAGTGTTATAGATAAATATATTAAGTATTTACAAATAGTAGAAATTATGCAATTTTAAAGTTCCATTTCTTCTTTCCTTAAGATGAATTGAAATGCCTCCATAAACAGTTTACGCAATATATGAACAGAAGATTATCATATACTTTAATTTAAAACAAGGAAACTAGTATAATCGCTTTAATTTATTCACTTTCAAACACGGAAATAATATTATTGTTGCGCCTTTGCATATTTTCAAGTTAAAATAAAAAAATCGTATTTTTATGCTCTAGCTTTATGCAATTGTACGATATTATGTTATGAAAATTTAAGCAGTTACGCACACCAAAGTAAAATATTCCGTCATTGTCATGCGATCTCTTATACATTAATATACACAAATACGTGTCATGCTATTTATCAAATGAAAAAAAGAGAAAAATCTATAAGGAATAATTCAATTAATTGAAAATGTCCAAATTCTTAGTTAAAGAAGGTTTTGCTTTGGGTCGCCACAATATTTTGAAATAGCAAATTAATCCTATGTGGGCCATTGATGTATTAATAAAATATCATATTTGTATCGCAAAAGTCAATCATGACAGGGCTTTTGCAGAGGGTTTGGGTTAAGCGCATATTTCAATGGACTCTTTGACAATTACATTGCGTAACTTTCATTGAAATATTGCCTTTATCCCCCTTCAAAGTAGAAAAGCCCATTAGTGCCAACCTGTATATATATAAAGGAAAAGCAATATATAAAAGCAAACATCGATATATAAAGGAAATGCGATATATATAAAGAAAACCTGGATATATATAAAGGAAATGCAATATATATAAACAAAACTTCGATATATATACAGGAAATGCGATATAGATAAACAAAACCTCGATATAATAAAGAGAAATGTGAAAAAATAAAATATATAAAAAACTTCGATATATATCAAGAGAAAAATTTCCACCGCCTGACCTTTAACATGTTTAATGACCTTCATAACAACAGAGACTTCGCCAACATACGGTAAGCAGCTCCCAATCTTATGGTGTCTGGATAGGGCCATTTGCGTTAGCGCGATATCGAGTTCAGATAAACGAGACATCGCGCTAACACACAACACGCCGTCGCGCGACGGTGCGTTGTGCAAAGCTGCGTTAGCGCGACGGCGCGTTGTATGTTAGCGCAACGGCGCGTTGTGCAATGTAGTTGTGTTAGCGCGACGGCGCGTTTATCTGAACGCGATGTTGCGTTAACGCAAACGGCCCTATCTGCACACCATGTTTTGATAGCGATCAGTTGGTGTTGCTGTTTCAGGATGGTATTCAGTGTGCTGTTTTCTTCATTTGTGCATCTTGATAATTATGATGATTAAAACTAAAGCTAAAAAAAAACTGCTGTTCTTCTTCATGTGCCAAAATGATGTTGATTCTTTGGAAAAAAAAATTATGTACATTTTTCTCTAATATTAATAGTGTTGTCTGTGTCTGCTCCATTGTATTACATTGTACATGTATATGTTTATATGTTTTTTTTATGTTTCTGTACCTTATGTACCACTTACAGTGTGTAAATAAAATAAATTGAATTGATTTCATTTCAACGACTTTAGAGACTTTTCTGCCAAAAATGTATATTAATGTTGGGGGTCTTTTCAATCGAACTTTAATTCGGTGTAAAAATACAGGGCGGTTTTTTCATGCTTTATAAGTTTTTTTTAACGTTTTACTATGTTTTTTTTTACATGATGTGTGGAGAATTTCAAATCGATTTAATTTACGACGTGGGACAAAAATCCGCAATTTAATTATGCGAGTGTGCATGCACTAATTGGATTCTTTTTATTAAGTCCTAAATACTTGATATTTTTCCCCACCATTAAAGACCCTAAAATTATTACAGTATAATTTTACTTGTCACTTTCTTCCCTCATACATTCAAATGAAGTGGGTACCTTCATCCTTCCCCTCTCTCCCATTCCGAACGATATTGATTTTTTTTTAACAATCAATTGGCATACTAGTTAATTATTTTTAAAATGAATTCAAATAAATTTGAATTAGTGCATAAAAAAGGACTTTCAGTTAAACATTATTTTCATGAATTCTCGGTCGTGAAACCAATGGTAGTACAGCTTAGTTTTTGTAAAACAGTAAACAAGATAGCTCTAGGTTGTAAAATGTAAAGCCAATAAATGCATAGAAAATTCAATAAATATTATACTTATTTCATTAATATATATACACATCCTAGTAATTAAATCAAAGGCGAATCCAGGACCGGTGCGCCGAGTGTGCCCCCCCCCGTTTCAGATATTTGTATATAAAATTTATAGGTCCATTATACTAAATTCCGTACAGCCACCAGACCCCTCTGCCTTCTGTTGCCCTCCCCCCCCCCCCCCCCCCCCCCCCCCCGTCATTACGAAATTTCTGGATCCGCCACGATATATGCATGTACAAACAAAAAACACTATTACATAGCAACATTTTGCCGATTCTGGAAAATTTATAAATGAGTACGGTATAACTGACCCCCCCACCCCCCCACCCCCCTGCCAGCCCATATGAAAAAATACTATTAGAATTCAATCGGAGTATTCAGTTGACTACTAGTTGACGGTTAACTGACCGTCAATTGACCATTAGTTGAATTTTTGCCATGCAAATGAGGGAGCGGTCAATTCATTTGCATAGAGTGGACCACTGTTGAATGCTCATATATATATTCCTTTGCAGTTGACCGCTAGTTGATTACTCCTCTATTTCCTTTGCAGTTGACCGCTAGTTGAATACTCCACTATTTCCTTTGCAGTTGACTGCTAGTTGAATACTCCATTAGTCAGTGCACGTAGGTTGCTTGCATTAAATATTTGAAAAAAATGGAGGGAGATTTGAAATCTTAGACAAGCAGTGTTCTTGAAAATATGAAAAGTCAAACCAATAGAGTTTCTAAATTGACAAAAATGTACTTGTAAATCTAAATGCATTATCAATGAATTGAGCTGGCACACTCTCATAAGTTGTTACAGTCCTTCTTCATTTTCTGGGCAGAAAAGGTTATATATAGAATTAGTCTAAAGCAATTGTATATTTTTACAACACAACAAGAAACACAACAAGACACTTGATGCATAACAGGTTTTCAGAATTCTTTCAATATTTAAAAAAGTACACAAAAAGGGACCTTCCTTTATATATATATCCCAGTTGAATTTATATATTTCCAGGTTTTGTTTATATATTATCGCATTTCCTTTATATATATCAAAGTTTCGTTTATATATCTATCTATCTTTTGTTTATATCTACTATCGTCTCCATCAAGTAGACGCATGCCTTTTCACACATATCGAAGCGGTTTGATGATCAAGACTCAAATTCATTGTTTACTTTATATATTTCCCGGGCGAGAATTGATGGTTACATCAATGTTTTCTTGTTACATGTTGACATTACAATATTAATATCATGTGATAGTCAGAAAAGCTTATGTAAATCAACTGAAAATTTGTAAATGAAAACAATTATTTTTCACGCTGTTATATAAAATTAATAAAACATATAAATCAATATATTTTTTTTATTTTGAACAGGAGGGATATTCTCAGTGATCCTCTTAGTCCTCTGTAAAAATTTACTTTCAAAGACACCTGGAACAGATTACCACTATAAATGTACCGGTGAGTAGACATGTTAAGAAATGTCCATACAGATCAAACAACATGTTTATTCCTATATTAATTGATTTTAAAATTTTCAATTTGATTTTATATAGAGTGTACATGTTTACTGGGTTCATCTGTATGCAAAAGCTGTACCTATAACGATGAAGGAGGTATTGTTACTACAGTTTATGAAGATAAATTCTACTTTTTTCTGGAATATAAAGAAATTTGTTAATGTTATTGATAAATAATTTTTGAAATGCTGTACAGAAAGAAGAAGACTTTACATGGGTTTAAATGATTGATAGCCCGTATGTTGTTTTACGTATCATTCGAGAATCCCCAAACAGGGCTATATAAGAGATGTCACAATACATCCTTGAAAGTCTTTAAAAGATCTTTACTCAGCAGTCAATTAAATGATGAGGATCTTTATCGTGCCTCCGATGACATTTGGCCTTAGATTGCATTGTCGAATTTGGAAAAAAAAACCCGGAAACTTTCACCTCAAAGTCTGGGAGAATTGATTTAACAACAGTTGCTGCTATTTGTGTTGACTTAGGTCAATCGCGTCTAGGAATCGAACCCATGACCTTTCAATCATGGCGTGAGCGCTCAAACGACTGACTTAGCATAACGTCTTGAAACGGGTTTAAAAATTAATTCTGTTATTTGAAATACTTACCATATATCAAGTTTTTTTCGCGTATTGGAAATTTTGCGAAAAGGGGGTAGATTATATTACACGTTTTATTTTGCGTAAATTATTTCTTACGATTGATTTTTTTTTTTGTTAAAAATGGTCATGTTTTAATGTCACATTATGGCTGATATAATGTCTGCGTAATTTGTAGTTGGCGAATTAAAAATGATCGAAAGCGAAAAAAAGATCATCGCGAAAAAAAACCTCCGGATATACGGTATATAGTACTCCTACAAGTAAGAGCCTCGGTTAACGTCCCTTCGCTCCTTATATACCTCGGACTCTTACATCCGAAGGCCATTTTCTAACGTGCTCGTTCCGCCTAAGGTTTTGGGCGAACGTATTATGCGTGAAATAAACTGTTAACAAGTAATTTTCAGGTACCTACGTGTTTGCATGGGGTATGAAAGTCACGAGAAATAATCACGAGAAATAATAAAATCCAATCTATTCAGTGTGCATTATTGTTAATTAATGAAAATTGTCATTATTCCAATTTGTCACCAGAAGTACTTTCGATTTGACTTAATTTTGCAGATTGCTTGTCAGAAAACGAAATTTTCGTTGCATTACACTAGTTTCGTTTCGTCAGATTTTCTGAATTCATTTCCGAATTTTAAACAGACGACTTGTTTCAATTTCTGCTTCGATTTAAAAAATAATGGATTTATTTCTAATACGAGAGGTTAACAGTGTTTTATGCGTACGTTTTATCGTAAATATTGATAATTTTATTATTTCGTACCATTCGTTAATATACAAATTTATTTCCACTTTGGGTTTCAGCGGCGAGAATTTTTACAATGGATGCTACAGGTTACGCGGCGCCAAGTCAAAAAATATCTCGCCGTGAACCTCTAGCATGCTGGAGTAGGTATATAGAAACATAATGAAATAACGGACAGCATTCAAGATCAAAAGTCCATCAAAAAATACAAAATAGGAACTTATCCAATTCAGTGTATTAATAATGGACTAACAATAAGTATGAAAAACTTCAATCAGCATTTACTTCGTTTTAGAAATTGTTCATACGTACGAGGGTTGTCCAAAAAGTTCGTTGACAATGACGTTTTTGTTTTTAAAAAATGGTTTTGTCTATATTTAATGTATATCAAATGTATATTAAAAAAAATTCTTATTAAAAATCAAGGGAATTTAATTTTTATTGTTGGAACTTTACATTTTTGTAAAAATTGGGGTCTTTAAAGGTCGCGGATAGTGCGCACGCACAAGTCTGACGTTAAGCCAATTTTATTATAACATCAAACATTTGGATATTGAATTCTTAATACATGTTCATGGACACACATTACATGTTTATTATCATGTCACACTGCAAAATACTAGCAATAATCTTTAAATATAGATTATAATTTATTAAATTCTTAAAATTCAGAAAAATGCACAATAATTTTTGAGCGTCATCAGTATAAACTATTCGCTGCAAAATTCAGCCCGATGTTTCCCTAGATTTATAACAACGTAACATGAACAGAAATATCAAATTTCGTGAAATATTTAGTATTTTAAAATCCTTCTAGTGTCTTCGAATTTGTATGCATGTACATATCTCAAATAGGTAAACTAAATATATTCTAATAACTTTGAGTTATTTTAAAAACAATTTTGCCTCTGTCGTCGTTTCAATTATATCAAAACATAATTTTTTTGATCGGACGCTGTCCCGTGCGGACATTCAGTTTTTCCCCTGTCTATGTAGTAACCGATACTTCAAATATCAAAAAATTATATCCTTTTTATTTTTGTTACATATACTTTTTATTAAGGTTTGACCTGTTTTATATAAAAAATAATCATTTTAATCCAAACACTTTATTTCAAAGTTTATGGCATTTAAACCTTGGTTAATGTGCACTATCCGCGAACTTTAAAGACCCCGATTTGTACAAACATATTAAGTTACATCAATAAAAATGAATTCTACCTGACTTGGTTTTCCATAAGAAATATTTTGATATGCAAATGGTATTTATAGAACCATTTATTTTAACAAAAACGTCATTGTCCACGAACATTTTGGTCAAGCCTCGTAGAGTAGATCTTTGCAGATCAAATCAGCTGAGATATATCGTATCGACATAGAATTGGAAATTACTATAGTAAATTAAAAATACGTCGTTGATATACCTAAATGTCGAGTTAAAGGCCACAGCATCTACTTTCTTCTTTTCATCAGACAAGATATAAATTTGCACAAATTCTACTGCATATGAATACAAAAAAAGGTCTGCTTATAACGGGGCTCTAATGGAACCCATGGAAATTCCAACAGATTGATGGAAGACCTGGTCTATATATTGTCAATAAGAAGTTCAGGCATCTTTTTGATGTCAACTTCAGAGTGCTTGTGTGTACAATCAGAGTGTTTTTCAACAAAATAAATTTGCAAATGACCAATGAGAAAGTAAGTAAATTTACGATGTTTTTTTTTTTTTATTGAGAAAGCAGTGTCAATGTTATCAATAAGCATGGATTTTATTTTATCGTGGGGATTGGTTGTGTATAAAGTCTAATAGTCGTAGGTTTTAAGCTGTTGACTTAAAGCTTTGGTGAAATCTTGTGATTTCAAATTGTATCCACAGATGATTTACACAACTTTTGGAATATTTTCTGGCACAGTACTCTTGAAGTTCCTCTTTCACTACTGTTAATATCTTAGCGATGGATAAAAAAGGCTTGGTTGAACTTTTTTTTGGAACCCACTATGTATCTTTGTATGGATTCTTATTAAGTTTCGGAATCCAATATTTCCATGAGTTGTCCAGTAAAATTGTGGACAAGTTGTGTAGTGTAATTAAAATAATCATCACTGCTTCGTGAAATTGTGGAAGTTTTATTAGTCTGTACATATTTTATGAATAAACATAGCCAATTTCAAAAAGATATGAGCATAAATAAAAAAAAATGAGATTTTATGTTATATATTGTACAATGTATTGCCTTACAGCGAACGGAAGATAACGTCAAAGTATCTTAAACAGCGTCACGTTTCATCTATGCTAAAAATAAAGTTGAATAGGTCCCATTTAGGAATTTCATTGATGCATCCACTGGAGTCTCTATAAACAGAATAGGAACCAATATATCGATCTGGTACAAGATATATTATATATTATAATATATTAGATATATTAAATAGTATGTTAAGGACATATTCACACCAATATTGAACTATTAGACAATCTCATACATGTATCGACATCGACGGTCGACAGTGACAGTTTCTTTTGCTACTACAAATAGCAGTTTGTCCCATGCTTTATACTACCTGGGTAATCAATCATAAAGACTTTGCAAAGAAAACCCCCTTTTCATTTGTATACTAAACATCTAGTGATATTTATATCGATATATATTTTTTCTTTTATACTGTAGAAGCACAAATTTTCGTTGGCATAAAATTTCGTTGTTTTGTCTTCAAAAATAGTTTCGTGGGCATTTAATTTCGTTGTTTTGAAAGTTACCCTATTCAATATATAGTCATATAAAATTTCGTTTGGGATTTAATTTCGTTGAATATTGTTTCCAACGAAATAAACGAAATTTAATCCCCCACGAATATTTGTGCTTTTACAGTATTTATTCAAAGTCTCTTAAGGTGTCCTTACAACATCATAACCAAACTGACCTGCTCTACGGTGTGCCGTTACGTCACCAAACGTTGCAATTTCTCGTGTGATGTGTTTACCACTTTCCTATATCGAATGTTCAGAAAAATGCCAGAAATTAATACTTGTGTATCTTCTAATAAACCTTGGTTTTTGACAGTGTAACATAGGACCCTGCTCTGTGCACATTCACCCTCAATAAAATCTTTATTTTGGTGTAGATTTTATTAAAAAAAATTATGATGCACTTTAATATCATATATTAACATTTGCTGGAAAATTTCTGCTTGGTGCCCCTGTAATATTTTGAGAAAACGCTTTGTCCACGATTTTACCGAACAACCCTCCTTTATAATATGGTAGTTTGGGATATCAAAAATATTCCAAACTGACTTTATGGATTACCACTTGCAGAGTTTAATCCAAGTTCTCCTGAAATATAATTTATATAAATGAAAATTATAAACGAAGACAATGTTGATACCTGCTTTATCAGCAGTGACCAGCACGTACTGATCATGTCATCTATCTAATTCTTTTTTCACTTCTGGATGATTGGATAAAAAAAAATGAACGATCTTTTATACACGATTTGACCATGGATACATGTATAACACATGATTAGTGTCAACGTCTTCCTTCTCATATCTAGCCAATCACATGGCGTAATCTTCAATAGAGTATTTAATATTTACGAAACTTCAACGACCGTTACGACGAGGCGTTTAGAATTGGTGCTAATTTTGTAACGTCAAAATATGTTTTTTACGTAGTTGCGTACGTCGTCTAAACGTTGGAAATTAAAGGCGTGGCAAATTAGACATCCAAATTTTGC